TTCTTTCATTCTGTGATTACTTTGATGCAAAAACAAGATAATAGCAAACTAATTAAACTAAATATTCAAGAATTTAATAAAGTAATAAGTTCCAATAAAAAATATTTAAAGTCAATTTTCTCCATACAATGATTTTATTACATGACACCTTCATCCACTTGTGTTTTCAATTATAAATTCCAATAGCGTCTCGGGGGCAGCCTTATAATGATATTTGCAAAAAGATATACGCCGCTGGCTTTTTTAAAAACATATTTTTGGATCAAGCAACTAATCATTTAACTTTTTTCTTGATATCTCTTTGTATCTTACTTCGTTTGCGAGGAAAAAATAACAACTTCATTACATGTCGAAAATTACTAAAACATCAAATCATATAGTTGCAAAGGAGTGTTGTTCTGGTATTGGGGACATCTTTTTTACTTTCAGTGACAGTTTATTATTTTCTCTCTGTTCATATTAAAATTTTGGAAACCAGACTTTTTAGGACACATTTTTATATGAACTTGGACTGACCTCCCAAATAACAAAATCTTACCTATATAAAAGTGTAAATGTTTTTGAGATATTGAATTTTTTCTTAAATTTTAACAAAACGAACCTTTTCATCTGTGGTATTTAGCTGCATGTACAAATAAGGTTATACTTTGCTCATTTTTTCAATAAAATACTTCTAGGTATTTGCTTTATCATATACAAATGCAATGTAGTTAAAAGATATTAAGGAACCATGATCAAATAAGGACTATTTTGGGATTTACTATATAACCTTCTGATATTTTTTCCGCAACTTTGACCATCTGTGGTGAAACAAAAATGTACTGGGCTATAACTGCATTATATTGAATAAAAAGATTGCTCATTGAATACAGAAAGGCACCACACGTACTACATATTTGAAATAGAAAAAAGTTGATAGCTGCTTTTGTAAGTGACTGACACACACTACAATGTAATTATTGGATTTAAACTCAAGTTGCACAGGTTACCGATCAGTGACATGCTAAATAGTACAAAGCTACATTTTTATTACCTGCTCCTGATATGATTTTGTGGAAGTTGAGGAAACAATATCAGAAGGTTATGAATCCCAAAACAGTCCTTATTTTATCATGGTTCCTTAATATCTTTTAACTACATTCCATTTGTACTAATCTACAAATATTTTTTAGAAAAAATGAACAAATTATAAGCTTATTTGTACATGCAGCTAAAGACCACAAATGAAAAGGTTCGTTTTTTTAAATTTAAGAAAAAATTAAATATCTCAAAAATGGTGAAATTTTTATATAGGTAAGTTTTTGTTATTTGGGAGGTCAATCCAAAGCCTACCTTCTCCTTAAGTTTGTCGTGGTACTTATTATATATATATACTTATATACATCTTTTTATGAATGATTCAGATTCAGATTCACTTGTTGATCCAGTTAGATCTACATTGTGGACATTGGATAAGTCGGTGTGTACAAATTAAAATATAGATAAAATGAAGTAAAGTACAAATAACAATAGGAACATAAAAAAACAATATGATACACACATGACAATAAATTATTTATTAAGATCTATCAGCAGCACTGTGGAATGTGACAAATTCACCTAGGTCATAAAAACCGCAGTTCGATAGCTTGTTCCGCAAACGTCTTTTGAAAAGCCCTATGGAGTTTACGTTTTTGATCTCCGGAGGTAATAAGTTAAAAAAGTATATTCCTGCTGTTATGGGAGATTTTGAATGAAACGTATGATACGACACATGCCTACCTATATTATTTTTATTACGAGTGCTGTATTCATGGAGGTCAGTATGCTTAAGATAATCTTTTCTGTGCTGTAAAATATATGTTAAAAGTTTATAGAGATATGTACATGCCACTGTAAGTATTTTGTGTTTAACAAATATCTCACGACAAGAAGATCTGGACCGTATTTTAAATATAATGCGAATGATTCTTTTTTGCAAGACAAACACTAGAAATTTCACTACCCTGACCCCAAGCAGTAATGCCATATGAAATAACAGAGTGTACACACGCATAGTAGACATCCATTAATGCTGAGGTGTTTAACATCCTCCCTAGCGTATTAGATACAGACTTTTTCCAAGCTTCTTACATACGGAATCAATTTGCTCTGTCCATCTTAAATTGTAATCAAAGCTTACACTAAAAAAAACAGTTTTTTTGGACGTTACAACTGTCTTGCATTGAAGACTGAAATTAAAATTTGACCGAATTTTTGCCTTCATAAAATATTCAACTGAAACGGTCTTTTTTGTATTCATTATTAGTCTGTTTCTGAAGCACCATTGACGGATCTCATTAACCGAATCATTAATTTTTTCTTGAAGACGATCTTGCGATGAGCTAAAATGATATTTGTGTCGTCTGCATACAAAAGTAATTTTCCGTAGGATAAGTGTACAGGCAAATCATTTATAAAAATGGAGAAAATAAGTGGTCCAAGGACGCTGCCTTGAGGTGTGCCCCAATATAAATTGAATTCATCAGATTTTTTATCAGCGACAGTAACATAAAATTTTCTATTCTCTAAAAAGCTAACTATTCATTGAATCAAACATCCACGAATGCCGACATGATGAAGTGTATCGGCTACAAATGACGAACTTACACAATCAAAGGCCTGAGACATGTCAAATTGGATACTCACTACGTAATTACCTAAATCAAGTTTATCCCAAACAAACTGAACATACTCGATGATGCTTGTTTCAGTTGAGTAGCCTTCCCTAAAACCATGTTGAGCATATGTGATAATAGCAAATTTAAGAAAGTAATTTTCAATTTTCATTGCAACCACTTTTTCAATGATTTTCGAGAAAATACTTAATAGCGCGATTGGCCTAGAGTTTTCAACATCACAATTTTCACATTTTTTAAATATCATAATTAACTATGCCAGTTTAACTGCTGTTGGAAATTTACCAACAGCAACCGATTCATTAATGATGTCTGCTAATCCTGGGGCAAAGATATCTATGTTCTGTTTTACTAAATAGATTACTTATCACAAATACAGCATCGTCAGCAATGAAATGGGTGAAAAACATTTATTATTTGGCTGTTTCACCAGTAGTGCAGCAATCCGACAAAATGGTAAAATTGTTGGCCATTTTCTTGCCAATTACAGTGGATACATATTTTCCAAAAAAGTTGGCGATATCAGTAGGGTTGGTTATAGTTACGTTATCGGAGACTAATTCTATGATAACTGCATTTTTTTGTTTACCTTTTATTGAATTGACAATATTCCAAGTAGTTTTCTGTTTGTTTGAAGATTTGCTTATTATGGAGTGATAGTAACGAATCCTTTCATGGGGAATATCCTTATCAACCTCTTTTTTTTTAAGATTTAAATTTTGTTTCCAAATCAGAATCTTGAATCTCTTTACGTAGCCATGCTAGGTTATTCAATTGATGTATTTTTTGTTGAAGTGACTTAGAGAAATGAGTAGTGTTGTATCGCTCATTATGAACAATTTTACGTTTAAAGGCTATGTCGAAAGACCACAAGCACGTTACACTTTTGAATGTCACCAAACCCATGCTTCAGTAATAAATAGCGAAATTCCCTCAATGAATTGTAGTTCAAATTTCTAATTACACGTGTAGTTGGGTGTTCAGTGGTATTCATGGTATGATATATGCTACAAAAAATAAATTGTCCGGTATGGTCTGAGTATACTCAGTTATATGAGCTCAAGCTCAAATGATCCAAGCAGATCGCCTAGTAATCTTTTTGAAATATCATTTCCAGAATAATCTATGTTCAAGTCGCCTGCCAAAATTACTTATTTGAAGTTACTTGTCGCAAACGAGACAATAGAATATGTCAATAGAACTCTTATTGAGTTGCGGGAGTCTGTAGATACAGAATATGCAATATATTTTCATAAAAGATACTGCACCGACCTCAATAACCATTTCTAGAGAAAGGCTGTTTAGGTACTGGATTGGAACACACAGATGTAAGACATTTCCTGCGGAAAATATTTCCGTGCCCCCATGTATACGATTAGTGCGTGCAAAACAACTTACCAGACTGAAGCTTCCAAGACCAAGGTTCTGAATATGATCATTGTCAAGTCAATGCTCTGATAAAAGTAACACATCAATACTATTGTAATCCAAAAAATATTCTAATCGGTCCATTTTATTAAATAAACTTTGAATGTTTATGTTGAAGATACTCAACTTGTCCGCACAATCGTTGCATATATATGTATGTGTGTCTATATATATGTATGTGTATATATGTGTATGTATATATGTATTATGTATGTGTATATATGTGTGTATATATTTACTCGTATATGCGTGCCTATTATTTTTTTTTCTATTTTTATTGTACTTACTTCTTTTACACCTTGTTCTGTTTATTATTATTGTATCTGTTGTTTTCTCGACTAAACTGTGTTTTTTATCCATTTTTAACCGACAAATTTATGTATTTATACTTAACTATATTTTTAATTTTTGTAGATAATAATGTACTACTCATAGAGATATGCCTGACGAGTCTTATATCATTTCTATGATCCGAAGACAATAAAGTATCTATCTATCTATCTATCTAACTTTGAATGTTTATGTTGAAGATACTCAACTTGTCCGCACAATCGTTGCATTCCTGGCTCTTGCGGTTGTCAGCAGTTTCATGCTCTTCAATTGTCATCTGTACGAAATAACTTGTATGGTTTTATTAGCGTACCTTCCGGAAAATTTGCTACTATCAGAAACAATTTCTCTAACAGGAGAGTCGACTTTTATTTTAAACGATTCAGTTAGACTATTCTTCCGTTTAGGAAGCATTTCAATTTCAAAGTTAGTGTCGGCAAAAAACATTTGCATACAGGTATGTTGCTTTATGCCAGCAACGCCAATCCCCTGCGAGATTCTTCCAACATGTATCCAAGATTTTCGTTTGATTGCAGATATGGTAAATGCATCAGATGATCTTGTCCCAAAAATATATAATATTACTTTTATCAGCTATCTGTTTATTTACAATCTTTTTGGTTCCAGTGTCAATGAACTCTTTCGTTTTATATTGTGTTCTTGAACGAGGAACGTGTTTGCTGTTTGTTTCTAGTTGCTTTTGCTCTGGTTTGTCTCTTTTATAGTTGCTAGTTTTTTGTGATGAATCGTTTTTGTTTTTGTTCCCTACTGGATATTTAGTTTCTTCAGCGTTACAATTAACAGATGTTTTGTTGTGATCAACTTGATTATTCGGATGTGTCATATTATGCATAGCACCTTTATTTGTCAGCAGTAGGTTGATTAACTCCAGATTTGACTCGCGCAGCATCACCACCTCTTCATGCAAATCCTTCATTTTTGCGACCACCTCACTCATCGCAGAACGTATAGCTTCGCTGAATGCACTTTTAATCACGTCACTGTTTAATATTTCACTCATGTCCAGTGGCGAAGCGTCCATGTAACCATTGTTAGCATTGGTAACAGTTAAATATCTTAAAAATAAATAGTTTATGACTAAGTACTGTGAAATAACTTCATTTATTTGTTTACCAACAGCCATATGTAGTAGTAATTCAGTAAATAGCAAATTAGCCCCACGAAAATAATGCGACCCATAGTGTCTAGGTTTTGCGAACACGATGAAGCTGACTTGGTTGTCGGTTGATACCATTTTCATTAATGGATACACTTGGTAGTCCGTCGGGGACCTGCGGTGCCGGCTCGTGTCTGATCGCCGGCGTCCGAGTGAGTGGGGCGCTGCGACTATTATGTGGGCTTGTTACCATTTTTTGATTTGGTTACTCACTTCTTATTCATTCGTAGCCGTTTTTGTTACCGGCTGTAGTATGCATGCAATGAAACATTAATGAGTGTCGCTGCGTAATCGATCAACTACTTGAAAAGTCATTCTCCTTGCATAATTTTTAAGAAAAAAAAGGAGATCATTGAAGATGGAAGACCAACACCTATTTTAAATAATTTTAAGAAGGATTGAAAAAACGTAGTTTGATATTTTAAATTAAGTTGGTATATGGAAACTGGTTATGTGGTTGCAAAAAAACAGATTCTGTTGTTGGCGATGTCTCATACAGAAAAAAATGAGTGGACCAGCAGCGGAGTCAACGATTTAAATAGTTTTAGGGCTCTCAAGAGGAGACATGAAATTTCTCCGTTACATGTGAGATGTGTAGCCAATTTAATTCAGTTTGACAAAACAAGAATCGAAAGTTGTCTTAACCAAGCTTTTAGGCAGCAGACTTCTAGATACCGTATATTTTTTGGCAAAACAGGAGTTACCATTCATTTTGAAGGGGATACTCTGACAATAGAGGAAAAAAAGATCAAAAATTTTCCGACTCTAGAAACGTCGACTGTTTTTTCGGACGTAGCATAAGACGATGAGGTATATCAAGTGCCCCAGACGCTCAGTCCAGTAATGTTTACCTTAATTTAAAAATAGTTTAAATAAAATACCTAAGATAAGCAAAAACTTATATTTGAGAGGTTCAAAATAAACTTTTTTTAATAAGATCTTTCACATCTGGTTTTGGTAACAGTTTAGGAAAAGTCCCGTGTAGCCACTGCTCATGTCGACTTCACATGCACCATCATCTCTAATATCGGGTTTATTCGATCTCAAAAAATACATTCTAGTAGATAATAAGAAACAGCAGCAACAAATACGTCTACTCAGCTAGACGGACGAGCTCTATACTCAGATATCCACGTCTGTTAGTGCAGCCACCGTATCCGAAGAAATCGGAATTTCGGTAGAATGCAGATGTTCGTCTACGAGTACATAGGATGACTGTTAAAATGCAAAAAATCCGTATGACGTCATCGGCTCGGATCTGAATAGTTGCAGATCTGTAGACGCGTGCCTTTAGGATACACATAATCACAGTATAAGAACACAAGTTTATTTTTTAGGGCCAAGTATTGATAACAGGGAACTGCAGGAATCTGTCCAAACAGGGTTTCTTTAGGCTTCACCTAAACGACAACAAGAGGGTGGAGACTATCACGTGTCTCGCTAAGTTCGTAAGTACACCAGCATATAGTATGTCGCATGCCTATATCAAGTTTAATTTCAGCCGAGATACGTTACACGATAATGCCTTTGGCTTTGTGCACACAATGAGGAACCAAATGACACATTAGATTGTAGATAATCTAAGCGAGCTCTAGTAACTAATCTTCCAAAACTCGTGGAACTGGTGCGTTTTCTCCCTCACTTACAGATCGATCCCGATCAAGTTAGAAGCGCAGAAGTTAAAAGATAATTTTCAATTGACACCATACATTACGTGACACGCACATTGTAAACTTTATAAACCTCGCCTTAAAATGTTTTTACTGCGATAGTCGGAGAGAAAATTTCTTCCCAACCGCAGGCCGTACCACTACAAACACCACGCCTAGTAGCAACCAAATGGAACTGTACAGTCTGCGAAAAACAAAAGTTCGGCAATTTGGGTCTGAAAAGCAAGGTTAAAATCGTTTCAAAAAAAATCTCGAAATACTTTCAAAGCTCTTGTAGAGCAAGGTTTTAACTTTAGATACATGGCAAAAATTACGATTTTTAACCAAATTTTTAAACATTGAATATACCCTCAGGGTAACCCAGATCAAATTTGTATAAGCAGTTCTTTTAAATAAATCACATCTTTTTGCCCGGATACATTTTTTTCGGTTTCTTTTAATCATCCCTAACAAAAAGGGCCATTAACTATTCTCTAAAACTGACCTGAAAATCCCTAGAAATGGATTCAATGCTTAAAAACTGGGTTAATAATTCTTATTTTTGATTGATTTTTAACCTTGTCTGTTAGGCCAAAATTGGCTCGCTTTTGGTTTCCACAGACTGTACGAAACGCTCGAATGCCAACAAAAACAACCGCTTCATCAAATTTCTTGCATAATATTTCAAGATCCAAATGCTCTCAGTTTCTTAGTAATGTTGTGATTCAGAAACGATATGGCGAATTTCCTTCAACAAGCCGGGGTCCATAAGGGGATTTTTAGACGCTACATATAACTTAAATTTTAAGTTGATCGCATCTACGAAATTTTTATATTTAAATATTTCAAAACGCATGTAAACTGCTCAACTTAGACAGCGGGTCGCTTTCCTTAATCACTTATTTTGACAACAACAACAAAAGTTGCAGAAATCGTTGCGTAAATTTGCCACTACAATTTAACATGCCACACAAAACTCTTATCCGTATTATCTGGTATTCTGGTTCTGGTATTATAATACTTCTAACAAATAATTTGAGCAGAATGACGTATCCAGTGTTGCCGAACCGAAAAAGATGATAGAGTCGTTCAAATTCCGTAGATTCAAAGTCAGAGGTGGATCAAGGACATTTGTCTTACGCAGCGTCGCTTATGTAAAAAAGTATTTTTTTATTGCGCGCGTACACTCAACACGTTTTTTGGGGGCAACATTTCCTGATAAGAATATTACCGTCGTTATCACATGTACGATGAGCACACTGGCCGCACTTAAAACTCATTTGCAACCATCCTCCAAGCTCGTTTTCAAATTTTTGTTTATAAGAGCCTGAATATTTTTGTTTTATCTCTGAACTTCAGGCTTCATCATCTGACACTTTAATTTAACATTGAATTAAAAACAGACAAGCTTTGGTTTCCATATTGCTTGTCCGGTAATGTCGGTGATCTACCAGTATGTACCTGTTGTAGGCACAAAAAATAACACAGAGTAAGAGACTTGCCTACATAATTATAGGCAATCCAAATCTACCGCTCGTGACCAACTGCCTGACTGTATGCATATGTCTGATTGGTATAATAAGGGCATACAACTGTCTACTGCATCGAATTCATTTTCTAGCTTTATTTTTGGTTGCAGGTCTTTGTCGGTAAAATATCTGGAAATATCTGAATTATTTTAACAAATCGTAGAAAATGAGCACGTTTCCGGTATTTCGGTAAATAAAATACCGAAAAATCAGTAGATTCGGCAACACTGGACGTATCCGACGTCTGAACATCCGCGGTACCTTCTCATAAAATCTTTGCGTTTGAATTCACAATTAAGTGAAAAGCCGTTCTGAAGTGCAACCCTTTACCCTATTATTTGAAAGTAGATTGAGATATAGCATTCTCCTTTGGTCCCAAAATTGTCTAAAAAACGAACTCTTAGATATATACTAAGTGACATATAAAATGAATCATTTATTGAAATTTGAGAAAAACTTGTAAATATACTTGCTATCATGGAAGTATACGCTGACAAAATGTTGAAGGCATTTCGAGCCGTATCTTTTTTGAAAAAAAGGCTTTTTTGTCATATCAAGATCCGAACAATATCAACATGTTTACTTAATATTCAGTGATTTTTCTGTATTGGTTCCATTTGTTTCATTGCATTATCATACCTTGAATTCGTTAAAGGTATTAGGCGTCAAAGACGGGAAACTAGCACTAAGAGATCGATTTTCCACACCAAAGGCAACTGCGAACCAGTGGTTGGATGCTGTCGAAAGAGCAATAACAAGTTTATAGCCGAATAAGATCATTTGGATTGTTTTCATACCGTCCCCATCTTGAACTACCTCTGACCCCACAGAATCGTTGGCAGCATTTTGGTATGGAGTAGGGTGAGACTTGAATGGATTATGGAATGGAACTCTGTTTGGTCACACATGATGGCCGTGCAAGAATGAGGAGGAGACATGGTGAAAGAGATATTCCATCGAACGGCATAATCATCGCACTGCGAGTGTTACGGTATGGGATGCCATTGCTTACAGCAGCAGGTCACGATTAGTATTCATTCGAGGTAGCATGACTGTCCAGCGCTATATCCACGAAGTTTTACAACCACATGTGCTTCCAGTTTTGGAAACATTGCAAGATCCACTTTTCAGCAGGACAATGCACGACATCACGTCGCACATGTTAGTTTAGACTTTTTAGAGGCGTCCGGAGTAAATCTGCTTCAGTGGTCTCTTCGATCAGCAGACCTTTCCCCCATCGAACATGTATGGGACATGATGGGAAGAATGTTGCAAAATTCACCGCACCCTCCACAAACATTAGACGCTCTACGAAACGAAATTCAGATGGCCTGGGATACAACACACCAAGAAGACATCAATCATCTAATCCAATCAATACCGTGACCACTTAAAGAATGTCTGACTAACAGAAGAGTTTCAACACATTATTAACTTTAAGGTGGGATATCTCATCTATTTTTCGAAATTTCGAGTTTATTCACTTTCTATTTATCAGTAGACCTGAAACTTGTGAAAGTATGCTCAAAATTACAGCACTCCTATTCGGTGTTGCATTTTCTATGTCATTTAGTCTATAACT